CCGCTCCTCCTATGTGTATTCAACACCTTATTTGATTAATATAATTATTTGTTGTGTTGGCTTAATTGAAATTTATATATTCGTTTATGAGTGAAATTATTTTAAGAAATATTTAATTGGTCCATTTATTAAAATTTCTTTTTTTTTTATCATTTATTTATTTATAAAATTTCTAGTTCTTTAATTTGATTATGTTTATCAAGTTGTAGTGGAAATAAACATTTTAAGCGAAACATGTGTTTTAAGTTAAAACATTTTATTTATCAAAAGTAAAGAACAATTAACAAACACGTCAAGTGAAAATTGTATCCAAAACATAATCAACAAAGATTAATTATCTTTTCATATTAGTATGACTTATTAGAATTCTGAATTAATTTCCAAAATGTCCTCTAGCTATGACTTTTTCTCAAATTGGTCTATTGACTTTTAAATTCTCTAAAGTGGTCCTCTGACTTTTAAATTTTAAGTCAAAATGGTCCTCCATTAGCTTTGGCATTAAATTGGTGTTAAAATGAAGGGTAAAATTGGAAATTTATGTTTTTCATTCCAATTTAAAGTAATATGTGATCCTTTTAAGCAGTCTGCGCACATATTCTTCAAATTAGGTTTTTGCTCTCCTAAATCTATAATCAACTAGAAGGCCAAAAATCTTTGCATTGGGAAGTTTGTGGATGAAGTTGAAGGTGAACTTTAATTACAAATTGTTTTAAATTGGAGTGCAAAACTTAATGAGCATGCCTGGTGAGGCATAACCCAAGAGGATAGCTCAAGTGGTAATTGAGCTCTCTTTGTGGGGGAGTATTTTGGGTTAACCTGGGTCCAATTCCCACAAGTGACGATTCCCTCTGGCCTAGCTTTTGTGCTTCTCGGAGCGAACCGGGTGGACATGGGCTTTGGCTCGGGGAGGTTGATGTGGATACGGATTCACAACTTTTGTATAATGCTCTTATTGGACCTCCTTTTTATTTTGCTTTTGGTTTAATTGTTGGTGATTTAAAAGAATTAGCATCATCTATTATGGATGTTGATTTTAGTTTTGTCAAGCGATTTGCGAATCGTGCTGCCCACACTGTTGCTAGGGAGGCCGTTTCTGAGTCAGGTTGCGGGGAGTGGTTTGATGTGCCACCCCCTTTTCTTGTGCGTTGTCTTGCGGATGATTTAATGAATTAAGATTTTATCCTCAAAACTTAAATTTTCAGTTTACCCTTCATTTTAACACCAACTTAACCCCAAAACTAATTGATGACTATTTTAACTTAAAATTTAAAAATCGAAAGACCATTTTAAAAAAATTAAAAATCAAGGAACCAATTTGATAAAAGACCATAATTGAATAACCATTTTGAGAATTAACTCGAATTGTACGTTCATAAATTAAGTCAGATCAAATAATACACATCCCAATTGAGAAAAATCAAATCAAATAAAGTCTATGGAAATGCTACAACTCTAAAGAGTGTAGCTCAAATTAAAACAGCAATATATACAGAACTTGATCCGAGGTCAACAACTGCATCCGTCAACCTTTGTTTTTTTTGTTCCAACTTGTCTTCTCAACTTTAATTTAATTTGCCATTATTTTCATAGAAAAGAATTTAGGTGGAATTGAATTTAAATTCTATGAAAAAAATTACTTGATTCAATTGTTTAATTGATGAGAAATAAGTTGTTGGAAGTAATTAATGTAAATACTCAAATGTCCCTATGTAATGAACATATGTTAGGGTAATATATAAGAATCATATTGTATATTTTATTTTAAAAAGTGTGAAAATAAAATATATAAGGAGACTAAAAAATTCATTTAAAATTTTTTTATCCATGAAATAAATCCTCCATTAACCAAGCATGTAAAAATTTTTCTTCCTCAAATTTGAAAAATAAATTGTACTAAGAACTTATTTTCTAAAGAACCAAACAAGCCATAATATAATGTTGTCACTTTGTTAGCCAAAATATTTGACCTTTCATACCTGAGGTAATTAAGTTTTCTCTGCCCATTTTCTAATAATCATTGGAATCTTAGATATTCCTATTTTCCAAATTTTTAAAAATAAAAAATGTTCCTGGAACCCCCACACAAAATAAAGAACAAAATTTACATTCAAAAGCTCCAATTACGACAACTTGAAATAATTAAAAATGAATTAATACCTAATTTAATTTTTGACTATAGTGAATTTTTTTGATTTAGTCTTAAATAATTTTTCTTGCTTAATTAAGTCTTTAATTTTGATGATTTTCTCAATTGAGTCCTCTATTAAAATAACTTACTAATTTCACCTCTATTAATACTCAATTTAGTCTTCAATTATAGTGATTTTATCCAATTTAATCATCGATTATACTGATTTTTTTTTTTAAATTTAGTCATTGATTCTAACAACCCATGATCGACTCAATTAGGTAAGATTATCAAAGTCGAGAACCTAATTAAGCACAAAAAGTCGTTTAGGACTAAATCAAAAAAAGTTACTATAGTCGACGACAAGATTGAGTATTAACTCAATTAAAAAAATGATCATATTAATCTGTTTATATTTCTCAAGTGTTTAATTAGTAAACAACTGATCAACTAATAACAAATTTTGATTGCCTAGTTTAGTTACACAGGTAAAATAAGTTATTGATAAATAATATATTGACTTTAAGTGATGAGTGACAATAAACTAAAAAAGAAAATAATGCTTGAAGTAGATTTTTTTTTATTATATCAATTAATTGTATTTTATTTTATTTTTAAAATCTAATTTACCCTTGAAATTTGTAAGATACCTTCTTTATAATTATGACATTATTAACTATAATTGTGTGTATTTAATCTAAAACTCTTATATTGCATGTGAATTTAGGCGGTTGTTCTTAAATGGTTGAATTTTCAACCTCAAGGACCCCACGTCCTAGTCCGGCAGAGTAATGCTTTATTTATTGCGCACAAGGAGTCCCCTCACTTTGAGAGGTTGTTCCCACATTGGCCTCAGTGAAATTCGATCTGGGTCATTATTTTCAAACTTCACTCCTGTAACCAATTAAACTGCCCATGCTGACTATGTGAATTTAGGTTGTACCATTGATTCCATGTATTTTTTCTTGTGTTCAGGGAGTTGTACATGATGCTTAAAAAAATTATATATTACATTTTCAATAGATAAATTGTCCTCCTACATTTGTAACATTGTTACTAATATTGCAAAATGGAAGTAATAAGGTTAAAATATTAATTCAAGTAATATATTTTAGGGGTGGGCACTTCGGTTCGGTTTAATCGAACCGAATCGATCCGAATCGAACTAGTAATAGAAAACCGAACGGTTTAGTATCGAACCGAATCGAAACCGAATAGTTTGACAAAAACCGAACCGAACGCTATATAATTTTTTAATAAATAATAATAATAATAATAATAATAATAATAATAATAATAATAATAATAATAATAAAGAAGTAAATCCAAATTCCTTGATGCCTGCTCCGCCGTTCAGTTCTCATTCTTACTGGTACCGAACCTTAAATTATTTATTTGATTTCTTTACAGCTTGTTTTCTACATTTCACTTTTGTTGTTTGTTGCAATTGTTCTTTACTTCACAATTATATCTAACTTGAGTTATATTTACAATATTCAGTATTTTCCTTAGTTTCATGTTTTTCTATAAATTTAATGTGCTTTACAGTCGTTCTAATTTTGATTTCCAGTGCACTATAATTATTTTATAGTATTGGAATATATTTCGAGTGCACTAGCAATGACAGATTGTGTCTAAAAATTAACTATATAGTAATTGACACTAGTTCTTTTAATATCAACTATACAGATAGATGATTATTCATCTTATCAATAAAAATATTCAAACTGAACCAACTGAAGAGTTGGTTGTGCAAAAACGTTAACTGATGTTTGGTAATTAGTACTTAGTATTGTGTTTGAACTTTGGATTGCTATTTTGTTATATAATGTTTAGAGTTTGAATTTGGATTATGTGAATATATATTGTTTGGTAGTATGTTCGAAAAATTAGGAAATGTTGAAATTTGGAGATCTTAAACCGAACCGAACACCGAACCGAAACCGAACCATTTCAAACCGAACCGAACCCTAATGTTAAACCGAATGGTTTAACTTTTTTTAAAACCGAAAAACCAAAATCGAAAAAAATCAGACCGAAACCCGAAACGCCCACCCTAATATATTTTGGTGTCTAATCAATATTGTTAAATCATATTTATTTAGTCAATTTTATAAGTCTATCATATACTAATTTCACTCGATTTGTTAAATTATTGACATCTTTTTCTTTTTTAGTAGGATGACTCTATAACAATGTAGTATCTATTCCTCTACCCAAAAAAAATATAGTATCTGTTTATTCATATTTTTTAATCTATTAATTAAAACACAAAAAGCTAATGCTCCCATCGAAGTTCGATCCAGTGATTTCCAAAAATAATAATAATAAAAATGCAAGAAATGTAAAAAAAAAAAATATATATATATAAGTAAAATGAAGCTGAGGGAATATTAATAAATTGGAAACAATAATTAGTTTTCTTTCTTTATCTCGCTATAACTCCTGTCTCTTTCTCTCTCTTCTCTGGTTAAAGTCTTGAAGGTAGAGAGAGAGAGAGAGAAGAGCTAAAAGAAATAAATGGGATATTTGTGGAGGCCAAATTGAATGAGAGAGACGGTGTCCGTGTATGTATCGTATGAGTATGTCTACATAGCTTTTTATCCTCATCTCCGTCGTCATCATATTTGGAGGGAGAGAGAGAAGAAGTTGTTTTTAGAGAGAGAGAGAGAGAGAGAGAAATATATGGGTAGAAAGAGAGAGAGGGGGTGGGTGGGTGGTTTTGTGAAGGAGGAGGTGTGATCTCTCCTTTTCGCGTTGAATTCCCCCTTATAGCTTTACTGTGATTCACATATACATACACACATACATACAACCAAGGAGGAGCAGATAGTGATACATAGTAAAAGTTGAAACACAGATCCTATCTATCTTCTTTCTATCTATCTGTAAAGAACAGACCTGGGGAAATATATTATAACAAAGAACAGTTTGATTTTGTGTTTTCTGGTAAATTTTGGTGTTTGGGATTTTAGTTTTTGGTGAGATGCGGTCTGGGTTGAGTACAATTTTGCAGACGTTAACCCCGGAGGCGGCTAGCGTACTCAACCACTCCATAGCGGAGGCGAGCCGCCGCAACCACGGCCAGACGACGCCGCTGCACGTCGCCGCCACGCTGCTCGGCTCCCCCACCGGCTTTCTCCGCCAGGCGTGCATCCGTTCCCACCCCAATTCCTCCCACCCGCTGCAGTGCCGCGCGCTGGAGCTCTGCTTCAGCGTCGCCCTCGAGCGGCTCCCCACCGCGCAGAACATGCCTCCGGGGACGGAGCCGCCGATTTCCAACGCGCTTAATGCCGCGCTCAAGCGGGCGCAGGCGAATCAGCGCCGCGGCTGCCCCGAGCAGCAGCAGCAGCCGCTCCTCGCCGTCAAAGTCGAGCTGGAGCAGTTGATAATATCGATTCTTGACGACCCCGGCGTTAGCCGGGTGATGAGGGAGGCCAGTTTTTCCAGCCCGGCGGTGAAGGCCACAATCGAACAGACGCTAAATTCCACCTCTAATCACACCCATCACCATTCCACTCCTGTGAATTTGGGCAGTTTCGGTGGAATTGGGCCTCGGATGCTCCCAAATCCGGCCTCCATCTCCACTCCATCGTCGTTGCCGGCGCCGCCCAATCGGAATATGTATCTGAATCCCCGGCTACAGCAGCCAGGAGGAGGAGTATCATCTCAGGTTGGGAATCAGAATCAGAATCAGAGGAATGAAGAACTGAGAAAAATTCTAGAAATTCTCGCTCGGACTAAAAAAAGAAACCCGATTTTGGTCGGCGAAGGCGAGCCGGAGGCGGTGGCGAAGGAACTATTCCGGAGGATCGAGAAAGGCGAACTGGGCGCCGCCGGCGAAGGCCCTCTCAAGAATGTTCAACTCATTCCAATCGACAAAGATTCATTATTATCCGACAAGAACGAGATTCCCATGAAGATCAAGCAACTGGGCGACCTAATAGGGACTAGGATAGGGAATGGTAAAGCCGTGATTCTTGATTTGGGCGATTTGAAATGGCTGGTGGAACAGCCGATTCCGCCGCCCCAGCAGCAGCAGCAACCGGTGGTTTCCGACGCCAGCCGCACCGCCGTGGCGGAGATAGCCAAACTCCTCGCCGCTTTCGCCGGCGACACCGCCGGTGCCGGCCATAGTAGAATATGGTTAATAGGCACCGCCACTTGCGAGACTTATTTAAGGTGTCAAGTTTATCATTCCACCATGGAAAATGATTGGGATCTACAAGCAGTCCCCATGGCTTCAAAGTCAACTAATCCTGGGATTTCTCCCTGGTATGAACTCCCATCTTCTCATAATCTTAGATTCTTATTCTTAATGTTCCTTTGCAAATTCTGGGTAATTGTATTCATAGAAATTCTGGGAATTTTTATGAGTGTCTGAATTGACAGTATAGGGAAGAACATTGCATCTTTTAGTCTTCAGATTCATTCTTGATTTATGTTCAAAAAACTGCAGCTATTGTTGACTGTAATTGATACTTTCCGTGATTCCAACATTCATATATTTCTTTCACTAGTCATAGAATCTTTAGTTCCGATTGAAAGTAGAACGAACCGTCCTGTTTATCATATTGTTGTTTAATCAATTGTAGGCTTGGAAAGGAAAGATTGTTGTTGAGCAACCCTTGCGAGTCGCTAAGTCCATTGAAAACTTTTCCCGTTGCTGTGGCGCCTCCCTTACTAAGATGCATTCCCGAGAACGTGAATCTTGTTAGGAGGACGAGTGTGACAACGTTGTCGTGTCCTCAATGTATGGAGAAATATGAACAAGAGCTCGCAAAGCTAGTGTCCGAGTTCGAGAATTCGCCTCCCGATGCTAATTCGGATTCAGCTCGACCAACGTTGCCCCAATGGTTGCAAAATGCGAAGCTAAGTAATGGCGATAAGGTATGTTTAGTGTTTTAGTCTTTGGTGAGGTTTGATTTTGTGTATGGATAGACGGGTGGAGTTTAATAGTTTCGTGCTTGGAATAACAGAGTAAGGACCAAGAACTTTTGAAGCTAAAGACTCAAGCTTTACAGAAGAAGTGGAGTGAAAAATGCTCGCAAATTCATCCGAATTTCCACCGTAATGTCGGTTCTGAGAAGGCAACGGGTTCTCCCATGCTGGGTATGCCAAGCTTACAGAACCCGAACTTGCTTTTGCAACCTAAACTGCAAACAGCCAAGAGCCTCGTGGAGACTTTGCAACCGAGACTACAAACTACTAAAAGCCTCGGGGAGACTTTGCAACCGAAACTACATAAGGGCATCGGGGAGGGTTTTGGCAGACCTCCCCAGCTTGCGAGTAGCCCCCCCGAGAGCCCCGTGAGGACTGAACTGTTTCTTGGGCAAAAACCAACTGAAATCACCTCCCAAAAATCTCGAGACGACCACGTTAAGGACTTCCTTGGCTGCATCTCTTCAGAGTCCGAGAAGAAGATCCTTAGCAAATTCGCGAGTGCGTTGGATGCTGATACCTACAAGAAGCTACTCAAGGGTCTCGTGGAGAAGGCGTGGTGGCAGCAGGAAGCAGCGTCGGCTGTGGCTTCCGCTGTAACGAAATGCAGATTAGGCAACGGAAGGCAGCGTGGCGGGGCATCGAAAGGCGACACATGGTTGTTATTCACGGGCCCTGACCGGATTGGCAAGAGGAAAATGGCATCAGTTCTTGCTGATCAAATATGCGGGGCTAGTCCAATACTGATATCTCTCGGCTCTCGTCGTGATGAGGAAACCGAGAAGGATTTCCGTGGTAAAACAGCTCTAGACCGCATAGCAGAAGCCGTTAGGAGAAACCCGTTCTCGGTCATTATGCTCGAGGATGTCGATGAGGCGAACATGCTAGTCCGAGGGAACATAAAACGGGCGATGGAAAGAGGAAGGCTTACTGATTCTCATGGCCGCGAGATCAGTCTCGGGAACATTATATTCATTCTTACTGGAAACTGGTCTACAATTAACGAGAACTCGATGGATGACAAGAAGATGGCATCTCTCTCTAGTAACAATTGGCAGCTAAGACTAGCAATAGGCCAAAAGGGCACAAAGCGTGGGGCGAGCTGGTTGTACGACGAAGACAGGCCAACAAAACTGAGGAAAGAGCTAGGTTCGGGGCTCGGTTTTGACCTCAACGAAGCGGCCGACACTGCCGATGATCGAGCCGACGGGTCACACAACTCGAGTGATCTCACTATCGAGCACGAAGAGGAGCTCGGGCTAGAAAACATGCAATTCTCAATCACATCCGTCCCCCACGAGCTCGTAAATGCTGCAGACGACCTCATCGTGTTCAAGCCCATCGACTTCGCCTTGCTTCGTCGTAAAATCAAGAAGACGATCTCGTCCTTAGTCGTCGAAGACAAGGTTGTGATACAAGTGGAAGAAGAGGTAGTAGACAGGATCCTAGCGGGGCTGTGGCGGGGCCAAACGAGCCTCGACGAGTGGGTCCACAACGTCTTAGCCCCGAGCTTCGACAAGCTCCAGCCTGATGACAACACAATCGTCCGGCTTCAGCTCGAACCCGACACCGACTTGAGTAGCCGGAGCACCGGAGAATGGCTGCCCAGTAAAGTCACGGTAACAGCCAGTTGAGGGGCATAAAAAAACTATTGGGGATAGAATTCGCATTTGGTCATATCTTTTGGGGCGCAGATGTAAATACAGGTAAACTTTTGGAGGTGGCACCAAGAATTTAGGGAGAAAAAAAAACGTATAAGGAAAAAACAGTGTTAGAAAAAAAGTGGATGTTGATAGATCAACGGAATCTTGAACGGCTCCCACTTTTTTTTTTCTTTTTTTTTTTGGTTATTAAAATTTATTTTATTCCTTTTTCTTTTCTCCAGTTATTATAGTTATCTTGTATTAAAATATTACTAGTAAAAATATTAATTATTATAATGGACGATGATCAATAATAATAAAGGGGCATTAATCCCTTCCCTTCTCACAATCTTGTTTGAGAATGCATTCTTTTATTTTTTATATTTTCTTCTTCCCACCCCAAGAACCCCTTACACTCCTGTCCGATAGAGCATTTGGGAGGATGTAAATCAAGTGATTCAATCGCTCAGCAGATAGATCAAATGCTGGTACGCATAAGAGATCTGTCTTATTTTAAGCATAATCTTTACACGAGATGCCGATGTGCATAAGGGATCTGTCCATTTTAACCATAATCCCACAAGAGATGTTCTTAGTAAGCTTTAACCATAGGAGACACTTTTATTAAGTTTGTACCACCCCCAAATCCATCTTACATTAAGTGATGCAAGTTAACTAGGCAAGTAGTTTGGTTAGACTAAATAACTAGAAGTTGTTACTCAATACTCTGTGCCTAAGATATACATTATATGCACATTCAGTATTTCAGTTACGCCACACATACTGCTCACTAGATACCTATACATCAACTGTGGTTTTGAGTTAAGTATGTGCATGGCTAATAGTTTACCGTTCAAGTGGCAACACAAGAGGTCAACTATGACTGGAGAAACACTGTTTCTTCTTCCGCTACTTCGAGATCAGATTTTTCAACTTTTCGTGAGGTATACGAGTGTACGATCACTTAAGTCAACAAATTGGTTTGAGAATTCATTCTTTAGATGCATTGCATTTGCATAGTACATAGCAAACATTGGGGAGAATGTTTCAAAGCAACCTTATTGGACAAGATGTATCACTTGTACTCCCTCTTTCTCATTGGTTATTTTATGTTGACTATAATGAAGTGTCATCATCATCATTTACTAAAGTTTACTTGTTAACCAAAAAAATTAAGTTTTGGTGGTTATGATAATTGCAATTAAAAAAGTCGTAATTTAGTACTACCTTAGTCTAATTTTGACCAATTTTTAACATAATCCAAAAAAAATTTGGATTAGTTGAATTGATTTTTGCAAGTCATTTTATGTGTGTATATTCTCTTCGGATAAAAGTTACTGGGGATTAAAATTTTGAATTGGTCGATCTTAACTCACATTATAGAATTTATTTATAAATCATGTAAAAATCATATATTGTTCCGTAGGTGGGGTTTTAGTGTAATCCAAGAGCTTTCTGTAAGTTATTATAGGTAAAAAAAGGAATAAGGTTCAAATTGGTCATTGAACGTAACCTGAAAATGCAATTAGGTCACTGAACGAAAAAAAAAAAGTACAATTAGGCCATTGAACACTCCAAAAATGTGCAGTTTCACCTGATAGCAGGTTACCCTCAATTTTAGCAGGTTATCTGCTTACGTGGCAGCTGAGTTGGCATTTTTAATAAATTTTAATTAATTTTTAATAAATTTTAATAATAACTTTTTATTAAAATTTTTTTTTAAAAAAATAAAAACGACTTTATTTTATTTTTTATTTAATTTTTTTCAATTTTTTTATAAAATTTATTATTAAAATTAATTATTAAAAATTATTTAAAAATTATTAAAAATGCCAACTAAGCTGCCACGTAAGCAGGTAACCTGCTAAAATTGAGGGTAACCTGCTATCCGGTAAAATTGCATACGTTTGGAGAGTTCAATGGCCTAATTGCACATTTTTTGAGTGTTCAATGACCTAATTTCACTTTTTTTTTCGTTCAGTAGCCTAATTGCATTTTCAAGTTACGTTCAGTGCCAATTTGAACCTTATTCCGTAAAAAAATTATTTACTTTTTAAATGACTCCTTTTCCCTTTTGGTTCTCCAATTATAATGATTTTTCTTTACAATTGTCTTAATTGAAAAAAAAAATATGATAAAGGTGTGACGCGGGGAAGACCGAGTCAACAAGACAAACAAGGGGAATAGGTGGGAGAGGGGCATTAGTGTCATTTGAGGAGTGAAATCATAGAAAGGTGTGACGTGGCAGGGGGATGGGGTGTGAAAAGACTGTTTGCTCCAACTCTCCAAGTGACAAAATAATTAATAATTAATAATAATAATTCATTTGGTTGCTTGGGTGGTGGGAAAATCTGCAGAGATCAGACGGTCAAAAATGAACTTTTTGCTTTAAATGAGTGAGGGTTGGTGGGGCCCACCACAACTTTATGGAGTTTTATTTATTATTAATTTTTAATACAAACCTCCATTTCTCACATCTGCTACGCGTCGCCACCCGTGTAAAAGCTGCTTACTTGCTGGACCATGCAAAAAAACCATTTAATACTTTTTTTCCTTTTATTGAAAATTAATTTTCAAAAAATAAAAATAAAACATAAAAATATGATCCACCTACTAAAGAAAATATTTAAAAAAAATTCATAAAATTAGGGTATAAAATGTGCATTTATAATTTACCTATAAGTGAGAATATAAATTACAATTTTTTCTAAAAATTAATTACTTGAATTATCAGGGACAGGAATAAATATATAATTTCCAAACATGTAATATTGCTTCTTCTTTAAATGCTTCAATTTTTTTTTTAAATCATATTGATTTGAGTGTACTCAGTTATCTACCTTTACTTGTAGCTTTTGAACACTGAATTTGGTGATACATAAATGGATTTCATTTAAAATTGTGGTACGATGATCAGATGATGTATGTTTAACTATTGCCTATTGGCCAATGTTTAATGTACACACTTTTTATAGATAAATTTTCACATGTTTTTACATAAAATTTATTTTAATTAATTTATAATGAAATTAACTAATTACTTCATTAACCAGGATTGACTCAAATAAGTTATAATTTAATTAATGTGTGTTATTTAATTTATTAAGGGAATAAAAGTTACGGAGTAAATGAAAGTCTACCATGATAATTGGTACCTATCCCTCTTATATCTGGCTGGTACACGCAATGAAATTTTGAAAAATACTTTACATCCATGGGGACAATGCCATTAGAGTACCCGGTACAAATTTAAAAATTTTTCAATTCATTTTGAAAATACTAGATGTAAGAAGATGGATCAACAACGGACTATGGAGTATAATTTATCCTATGTACACTTTAAAAAAATAACAACGAATTTCTTTCGTAACAAAAAAAAAAAAAAAAAAAGTGTTTATAAGTAACTTTTTCTTTTAATTGTCCGACATATGGGTATAAGACCCTGCGAGTCTAACGGGAGGTAGGAATGTGTTATGTGTTTTCTTGGAAGTCGACATACACATCAAAGTTTGTTGCACTGCAAGCTGCAACACAATTTATTTAAAACCCATTTCTTGTATTTAAAAAATAAAAATACTTTTCGTTCTTTAATTATTAATTAATGACTATTTAATTTAATATTCATGTCATTATCAAATTAGCCTCTTTTCATTAAGTGTGTAAATGAGTCGAGCAATTCGTGAGTGGCTTGAGCTAGATCAATTTTGAACACAAGCCGACTCGTTTAGGCTCGTAGCTCCTCGAACCGCTTGCAAGCCACCATATACATATATACTAAAACGTAGCACAAACAAGGATTAACATAACACCGAACCGATTAACGGAGACTAATTTAAACACGAAGACGCAAAATGAATATAAACGATGAATATATTTACTAGATGGTTCGGGTCTAGATCGACAAATTGTTAATAATTGAAGAATATAAAAATATTGATAAAAGTCTTATTTGGTAACATAGTCAGCTTATCAGCCCATTTTGATTGATTTAGTTAAACAGTCAATATAAGTATTTGATTAATTAGCTTTTTGTAACAACTTATTGCTCCAAAACGTTAAAATTCAAAAGGCCGTTCAAAATAGTTTTTTCAATAAATTTTTTTTAAAAAAATCATTTTACATGTAATAAGCTATTTGCTAACAGTTAATTTATCAAAAATATTTCTACAATTAATTAAAATTATCAACTAGTCAAAACCATTATCATAATCAGCTAACAGTTATTTATCAAACATCGTAAAATCCGAAAGTGATAAATGTAGGAATTGATGAGTGCAGCCGACCATCACAAGAAAAAGACAGCGTAGCTCTTTAATGCGTTAGCTACGGAAACCAATGGCTCATAAAGAGGCAGCAATCTAAAGTCACTGTTCATCCCATTTAGACATTAATGCCACGTATTAGAACGCGGCGTTTTCTTTGAATTTGGACACTTCCATCCGTTTCCTTAGAAAAGTCAGCAATACCCTACACTATTTATTTTTTTCATGTTAGTATTAATTAATGTAAGTATACGAAATGAGACGAGGAGGTATGTTCTCTTGACCTTTCAAGTATGCAGAGTGAACAATGAATTGTCGTATACGATAGTAATAACATGGACGTATCAGGAGAATTTGTATTTTTGGATAGTTATATCTATAAATTTTTAAAATTTTAGTTGCACACAATAATATATATTTTGATGATATATACATTATATTTTTAAAATGATGTTACGTGATGGTTTTTAATAGACCGGCCTCAATATAATATGGGATTGACAATTTGATATTAGATAACGAGTATAAAAGTTTTTTGCTATGAAAAGTGTAGGGATGGCAACGGGGCGGGGAGTATACTCCCCGTCCCCGTCCCCACTACCCCGTCCCCATCCACATTCCCGTCCCTGTCCCTAGCGGGGAATTAAAAATATTCCTCGGTCATCCCCGTCCCCGCAGGGAATTAGGCGGGGATGGGGATTCCCCATTCCCCGTCAACTTCTAGTTAAAATGTTAAATAATTTTAAATTTAATAATAAAAATTTTAAAATAGCAGTCCTAATTTTAAAAGTTAAAATACTATCTATATATATAGTTAATTACATATACAAATATAGTGTACTGTTAGTATAATTACATATAAATGCAATACTGCCACTATATATATATATATATATATATATATATATATATATATATATATATATATATATATATATATATATATATATATATATATATATTCGGGGACGGGG